GGTGCACATGGTCTGGGGTTTCTCAGGTGGTGCAGGCCAAGGTCAGCCCCCACAGTGTTCTGCCCGAGGCCACCTGCATGAGCACCAAAGCAATCTGAGATAGCTGCTACTTGCGTTGGGCTTGGAGAGTCCCAGGCAAAGCCAAGCTGTGAATCTAGACTGGCTGCTGCTAGTGCCAGGCTTGGGAAGAGGTATGAGAGCTTACTGAGGCCAGCTGTTGCTTGTTTGACAGGATTTAGGAAGTCACGAAGCTGGAGCCAAGACCAGCCATTCATATGGAAAAGTCACAGTTAGTTTGGCTGATCCGGTCAGTTGGGTGGGACGGTCTCAAGGGATCTCCAGGATGGGACAAATAGTGTTAGCCAGGTTGCTGGAGTCTCAAGTATGACACCCGCCTGCCAGGTCTGTGGCTCTGTGGAAGAGAGTTCAGAAAGGAGACAATGGCCTTACCCTGCCATTCTGTTTGGGAGAAAGCTGTCTCCCAATTCCCACCTTTATACCAAACCCTTCATCCCCATATGTCTGTGGTGACTTTCAAGCTGCTTCTCCAGTGTTGGAGCTTAGAGGGAAGGAGTCTGAGAAAGTTTGTGTGTGGGTTCTTTAAGAGGAACTTCTTGGGACTCCAGAAATTTCTTCCACTGACTGAATCCCTGCTGGTTTTGCAGCCAGAATTTATCATGATTTATTTCTTAGCACTGAAACCCTGGGCTGGGGTGGGGCGGGGCTGGTGTGCAGCTGGGACTCCTCATTCCCAAAATATCCTTCCTGAATTTTTTTTCCCCAGTGTGGATGTTCTGCATCTCTACCCCTCCTACCAGTCTGTATGGAAGTGGTTCCTTCAATTTCGTAGTTGTCAGACTTATATTCAACTCAATTTCTGTTGGTTCTGAGTGATGATTGTTATATATTTTTATTGTAATTTTGATATGATTGTGTGAGGAGGCAAATTGTGTATACCTATGCCGCCATCTTGACTGGAAGCTGGCACTTAATTACTTTTCAATTAACACCTTTTCTTATATACTCTTGGCAGTGATTTTCAGTAAATTTTTAAGTATTTTGTCAATTTCTCCCAATGATTTCATTGAGGTGTGGGTTTGTGATTACATTATGTCTACTAAATTAAATGAGAAGAATATCTTTCAACTTTTTTCTCTAATGTGGATTTTGAACTGTCTCTCTTTATTCAGAGCTTCTTGTTGTGTACCTCACAGAACTTTTACATGTAGTTTTAACAATCCTTACCGTTCTTCTTAGGAATGTTGCTAGATATTCTATTTTCTGTCGCTATTATGAATGAGACCTTTTCCAATAATGATTCCCAATTATTTTTCACTTAATTTAAAGGAAAATATCAATTTTTTGGCTATTATTCAGAATACTGTCATTTTGTTGAGTTCTCTTATCAATTCACACAGGTTATCCATTGATTTCTATTAAGATTCCAATTAGATTATCATCATTCACAGCCAATTAGATTATTTGGAACCTCCCTTCTCATTAGAAACGCTTATTTTTCCTTCATGTTACATGTTAAAGGTCAAAACAATTGCTTGGCTTATTTAGGTGAATGATTTTGTCTTAATTAGCAAAACAGAATATTCATATTCAAGCTTTATGCCAGACAGTGAATGTAACTTGACCTGGTTACCATTTGACCATTATCCCAAAAGTCAAGAGAAATGTCACCTATGATGGGTAGTTTAAAGGACATGAATTGATTCTCTGATAGTTTATTTATCCCTGGGTCAAAATAGATCATTAGAGAGCCACAATATTTGCTCCACATTTTCCTGCCCTGTCAGAATTCCCTTTGCAAAGTTGTTCTTTGCCTTCTTCCTTTGACTTATATCAGGAATAGTATAAAATCCCCTGAAAAATCTATTACAATTATTTTAAAGGATTTTTTATGCCATTGTGCATGCCATCACTTAGTAACTTAAATATAAAGAAAAGCCTATGATAGACATGACTTCAATACTACAGTCCCAGAAAGAAAAACAAAACAAACAAAAACAAACAGTATAATTCACTTATGTTGGATTTCAGGGTCCCTGGTCCTTCAAATTACACAATCTAAAGTGATTGTGTGGCTCACTAAGTTGTCCAAATGGGGCTCTGGTCACAGAGAGCTTGGGTTAATTTATTGAAGTCTGGGCCTAAATGTCTAAGCAGATAGTTTTATGTCAAAACTAGGCTTGTTCTTTCTGAAAAATAGGAAAAGTGAAAAAGTCAGAGGAAGATCTCTCTACAAAACAAAACGACAGCTGTATGAATTATTAGTAAAAGTCCATATATATATATATATGAAAATACAAATGCAACATAGTGAATCCAGAATCCTCTAATGGGAGTGTTTTCTGATCACATTTTTGGCTCCTATGAATAATTATTACCAGAAATAGCCCAATTAAAAATTGTTTCTGAATTTATTATAAAAAATATTGTCAAGAGCTTTATCCATTGCACAATGTCTCAAACTTAAGGTCCCAGGTGAAAAATTTCATTCAGGAGCTTAGTTACAAGAAAGCTTTATTTCCTTGTTCAATGCTTGTTCCTTTCAGGTGTTAACTTGAATTCCTTTTTCTCCCTCGACCACCTCCCCATTGCTAAGAAACTCAGAACAAAGTTTGTCACCTAATCAGAGCAATGATATGTGCCTCAGTGTTGACTTACTTATTTTTATGTTTCTAATTTCCTCTTACTAGTTGATTATCTTTATCATTAATCATTCCAAAGCTTTTGGAAAAAAGGCAAGTATGTATTGTGTTATGTTTGCTGCTGTTAGATGGCTGTTTTTAATGGATCAAATAATGTCTATGATCAAGATATTAAGGACAGTCAGGGAGGACACACGTTGGAAGTTGCTGGAGCAGTCCCAGTCCTGCAGTTAGGGATGAAGAAAGGGATGGCAACTCAGCTGGGTAAATGAAGAAGCCAGCCAGGTTCCTCAGGAATGGACTGGAGAATGCATGCCGCTTTAATGGAGGTAATGCAAGCCTGAATTCCATATTTTACAAATTTTAAAGAATCTCTAAAATGCAATATGTTAAAGGAAATCTTGGTTTTTGAAATGCTGGCAACTAGTTCAAATTCTTTAAAACAATCTGAACCAGCAGAAGATAGAATGGTGGTTGACAGTGAAAAGGGAGAAAATGAGTTGTTGTTTCATGGGTATAAAGTTATGGTTATATAAGATGAAAAAGCTCTACAGATTTGCTGTACAACATAGTACCTACAGTTAACAATACAGCATTGTACACTTAAAAACTTGTTAACAGGTTAGATCTCATGTTAAGTGTCCTTAGCAAACAAAAAGGAAAATGGACACACAGGGAAACTTCTGAAGGTGATGAGTATGTTAATTACCTTGGTTATGGAAATGATATCATGGAAATGAACATATATCCAAAATCATCAGATTGTATACATTGAATATATGCAATTACTTATATATATTTATATATTTTTTAAAAACACAAAAACTCTAGTAGTCTTCTCTTTTCCACAGTTTTGCTTTCCATGGTTTCAGTTATCTCCTGGTCAACTGCAGTTTGAAAATATTAAATAGAATGTGAAAGAAATAAACAATTCACAAACTTTAAATTGCAAAAACTTAATTCATTAAGTTTTAATTATTTTAAGTAGCATGATGATATCACGTGCCGTCCAACTCCATCCCACCTGGCACATGAATCATCCTTTGTCCAGCATTTCTACACTCTATATGCTCCCTGCACATGTCACAAAAGTGGCTTGGTTATCAGATTGACTATCATGCTATCACACTGCTTATGTTCAAGTAATCTTTACTTTACTTGATGATGGCCCCAAAGCTCAAGAGTAGTGATGCTGGCAATCAATATGCCAAAAAGAATCCTTTAGCCCTGGTTGGTGTGGCTCAGTGGATTGAGTGCTGGCCTGTGAACCAAAGGGTCACCAGTTTGATTCCCAGTCAGGGCACACGCCTGGGTTGCAGGACAGGCTCCCAGCAGGGGCCACATGAGAGGCAACCGCACATTGATGTATCCCTCCCTCTCGTTTCCTCTCCCTTTCCCCTCTCTAAAAATAAATAAAGTCTTTTTTTTTTAAAGAAGCCTTTAAGTGAAAAGGAATGTATGTATAAGAAAAAACACAATATATAGAGGGTTCTGTACTATCTGCAGTCTTAGGCATCCATTGGACAGACCAAGCCACCATTTATGGGCCAGGCCTGGGCCTTTGGGCTCTGAGACACCTGGGAACAGGTATCAGAAACCAAGTTACCAGGGAGACAAAACAGGAACTTTGCCACCAGAGAGATGATGTCACAATGGTGTCAAAGATCACAGTGACTTAAACCTCAATAATAAAGCTCTGAGCCTGAGAAAATCAGAGTTTTTGAGCTCTGTCTCAGATTTTGTGAGCACTGATTAGAAAAAAAGAGACCTGGATTTGAAATCTGGAACCACAGCCTTAAGTCTCAGTACTGCCACCAATGAGTCAGGTTGACAGACCCATGGGATGTCTTGAATCCTCCATAGCGCTCCCTGCACAAGAAGGTTAGATATATGTGAATCTTTCAGGTTCTTTATTTACAAAAATATCAGAAACCCCAAATGTATGTGCACATGAGAAATTTCCATCTTTAAATCATGTACTATACAGAACCATCTAAATTTCCAATGTCTCTGCTGACACAAAATGAGCTGAATTTTCAATTGTCAAGAGTGAGCAAAAAAAAAAAAAAAAAAAGAATCAAGATTGAAAAATAGGGGACAGCTGGACTTCCAATCTCCACCAAAGGAAATTCTAATATCACACCTTTCAAGAAAATATCAAGAAAAATATGGTCACAATATACATTCGTATTTTGACTTCTTTTTGAAATGGGCAGAGTTAATATTTATAATTTATAAGTAAGTGCCATTTGGACATACAATTTTGTTATACCCCTTTTTTGTAAAAAAAAAAATCACAAGTTATAAACAGCTGACTCTTTGCAATGCGTTCAGAATGCACTACTTTAATTCTGCAATGATTGTTTTGAGTTTTTCTTCAAGGGCGCCACAAAATTCACCCACCTTTTCTCCTTTTTTATAAAACTGAAAGGTTGGAATGGAAGTGATCTCATGGTCTTTCACCACCTCCTCACACTCATCAACATCCACTTCCAGGAACACTACATCCCTGTGCTTCCCAGACAGGGAATGGAAAAGGGGCTTGATGGTCCTGCAAGGCCCACACCATGTGGCTGAGAAGTCCACGACCACCAGCCTCTCCCCAGCCTCCTTGAGTGCCAACTCAAAATCCTGTTTGTTCAGGATCACTTTCACCAAGTCGACCTCTAAGAGCTCCACTGTTTCTTCTGCTGGGATGTCACCTTCTACAGGCTGAATGGTTTCTTCTGAGGGCTTGGGGGTTTCACCCTCCTTGAGCTGGATGGCTTTTTCTGAGGAGTTGGAAGTGTCATCCTCTTTGGGCTGGATGGTTTCTCCTGGGGATTTGGGGATGTCACCCTGCTTGGGTGAAATGTTTTTTTCTGGGGAGTTGGGAATGTCACCCTCCTTGGGCTGAATGGTTTCTTCTGGGGGTTTGGGGGTGTCACCTTGCTTGGGTGAAATGTTTTTTTCTGAGGAGTTAGAGACGTCACCTTCTTTGGGTGAAATGAATTTTGCTGAGCGCTTGGGGGTATTGCCCTCCTTTGGCTGGATGGTTTCTTCTGAGGATTTGGGGACATCACCCTGTTTAGGGGAAATGGTTTTTGCTGAGAGCTTGGGGGTTTTGTCTTGCTTGGGCAGGATAGTTTTGGCTGAGGAAATGGGTGTGTCAGCCTGCTTGAGCAGGATGGTTTTTTCTGAGAAATTGGGGCTATCAACCTGCTTGGGTGGGATGGTTTTTTCTGAGGAATTGGGGGTGTCAGCCTGCTTGGGCAGAATCGCTTTTGCTGAGGACTTGGAGGTGTCAGCCTGATTGGGCGGGGTGGTTTTTGCTGAGTACTTGGGGTTGTCAACCTGCTTGTATGGAATGTCTTTTTCTGAGGAATTAGGGGTGTTGCCCTCTTTAGGCAAGGTGGTTTTTCCTGGGGACCTGGAGATGTTACCCTGCTTCGGTGGGATAGTTTTGGTTGGAGAATTGGAGATGTCACTCTGCTTGGACTGCATGTTTTTTTCTGAGGAATTAGCAGTGTTACCCTCTTTGGGAAAGATGTTTTTTTCTGAGGAATTAAAGGTGTTACCTTCTTTAGGCAAGACGGTTTTCCCTGGGGAACTGGGTGTGTCACTCTGTTTGGGTGGGATGGTTTTTGTTGAGGTATTGGTGGTATCACCTTCCTTGAGCTGCAAGATTTTCGCTGAGGAACTGGAGATGTCACCACCTTGCTCAGGGAGGAATGTGTTCTCCAGCTGTGGAACTTTGGACTCCTCTGCAGGTATGTGTTGTATATTGCTGATGTCATGGACAGAGGCCTTCTCCTGGGTGAGGGCTGGATCCAAGAACTCTGGGACTAGGAGAGTCACATGGCTGGATAGAACCTGTGATAGTAGACTGTCTGAACAAAAAAGCAAATCTTTAAATCATGTACTTGCAAAAGAAGAAACAAAAATCTCTGATCATATGCTTCAAGGAACACTTGTGTCATTCTTAGAGCTCACAAATGTAATTTTATGAATGATGTAGAATTGATTTGAATAATCACATTCAACAGAAGGCCAAGCATCATGTGATTACATGTATCCTTTTTATAGGTTTTTTAAAACTACAATTTTCTCAGCTTACTCCTCCACTACTGCCCACTCCTTAAACACATAAGTCCCTTAAGGCAACACTCTTCCCTCCTCCTTACCATTAGGATCACCTTTATGTGTTTCTGCTTGTTTATCTGACCTCATTTTCAGTTCTTCTGGGGCTCCAGCTTTATAACTTTCCATTTCCAGTTATTAATCTATATCCACTCCTACTTCATAAGTGCTTCATCGTGAAGACTAGGCCATACCCTCCAACTTTTTCCAACCTATCCAACCTAACATCATATAGTGAGTAACACCTTATATTTGGGTAGTACTTCCAGGCAGTTTTCCCTCTCTGTACTTACAAGAGTAATATTTGAGAATTTCATGACAGCCTTGGTTATGGTGTCCGTCCTGTCCTTGAAGGCTTGCCAGGTGCTTGATGTACATTCATAGTCATTATTTCCTATAACACAACAAACTACTGAGGTAAGTACCATTATGATCCCTCACTTTACAAGTGAGAAATTTGAGCCTTAGAGAAGTTGTATAACTCGCTCAAGGTCACAAAGGTAGTATGTGGGGCAGGTTCCAAGCCCTCACTCTGAGTACTACACTGTGCTGTACTGTTTGCCAAATGTCCTGTCCAGGATGGGTAACTTGAAACCAACTTTTTCTACAATCTCCCTCTAGGATTCTCCAGCTCCAGCTTTCCCTTTATAACTCACCCACTGTAATCATCTACCAAGCGTCTCCTCCTAACCACATGAACCTCCTCTGCAAAGTCCTGCCTGATTGTCAGATGCCCTGTTTGAGCTATTTGGATGGGAATAGATTTTGACACAGAGGAATTCCCTAACTGTGATGAAGAAGTGAAAACCTTACCCTCCCGATCCTGGTAGATGGGAAACCAAGAGAACAGATACCCTTCTGCAGGTTGAAACCTTAGCGTAGATGCAGGTTAGAAAAAAAAACCTGAGGAAAGCTGAAAGCAGAATGAGGAATGTTTGCCTCATTCTCCAACTGGAAGGCCATTAAGGACCCACACCTACATGGACTCCACATCAATGCAGCCTGAGCCACTGGCTCAGGGTGTGACTGGACTGTTGGGTCTGGAGTAGGCTCTTGGCCCCATTCCCTTCCAGGCACATGCCAGGGCTCTGGAAGTCTTGCACACTCCAGAGTAGGGCTGCAAATGTTCTAAGAAGGTCAGAGAACCAAGAGAATATATTTTGAATATCTTCTGTGTCAAAACATTTTTGCTTATAGCAAGAGTCAGCAAACTTTTACAGCAAACTTTTGCTGTAAAGGCTAGAGAGAAACTATTTAGGACTTTGCAGACCACATGGTCTCTATTACACTACTCAGCTCTGGTGGTGCAGCATGCAAGCAGCTGCTGTGGGTCAAATTGGGTCTTCCAAATTTCACATGCTGCGGTTTTAAGCACCTATACAGATAAAAAATGACTTCAACTTTATTCATTATATTCAATTTCTTTGCTTCATTAAATATCTGTGTAGGTATATCACACATATTTAGAAATAAAATGTCAAAAATTGTTAATTTTGGGTGGTGGACATATATACATAGGTTTGTTGCATTAATCTTTGAAATGTTCTATACTTGTAAGACTTTATAGAAAACAGGGGGTACCAGCTGGGAGTTATTGTACATTCTGATGTGGGGTGATAAGCAACGGGACAGAGACTGTGGTGGGCTGTGCGGATGATGTCCCTTGTGCAGGTGACTCATGTTGCAGTGATATGTCAGCTCCTTGAGAACATGCAGCTCTGAAGGAATTTAACTGGGAAGTTCATGCTATGTGGGTCAAATCATGTTGACATAATTGACAGAGAATATCACTTAAAGCGAGAAGCATTTGTCACAGATAACAACTCTTCATTAAGAATATTTTTGTAATCAGATCAACATAGCATGGTGTGTGCTTGCCTCTGGAATATAAGAATGCTTGTGTTCAGTAAAAGCCTTCATTTCAGTAGTGATTACTCAAAGTGTAAGATTATCTACACTTCATATTCCTATCCCGTTTTTCTTATTGATATGACTGCTGTTTCAGTATTTTTGACTAAAGTGGTCAGAAAACAACTGGTTATGTAAATCATTGAACAGGCCTGGATTCAGGTTATCTTGAGTTTTATTTGGTTTACTCACCATATCCTACTTTCCTTTAGAACATTCCCCAAATCCAAAGGATATTGTTGAGGGCTCACATAAAATAAATAAAGCTGTAGATCCATTTAAATATCTATTAGAGGATTATTATTTACCTAGTTTCTCAGTTTAATAATAACAAACACTGAAAAAAAAAAACCTCCTAAAACATTCTAGGTGCTTTGAATGTCAAGGTGCATTGGTAAATTGCTTACCATTCCTTCTACTTCCCAAATTTTCAAAAATAGACATTTTCATAGAATGTTATTGAATACAGTATTCCTCAAAAAATTAAACACAGAACTACCATATAACCCAGCATTTCACTTTTGGGTATTTATTTTTTAAAATGAAAACAATAATTAGAAAAGATATATGCACCGTTATGTCCATTACTTCATCATCTATAATAGCCAAGATGTGGAAAAAACATAGGTGCCCATCAATAGATGAACGAATAGATGAATAGGTGAAGAACATGTGATATTTATATATGGTGAAATATTCAGACATAAAAGAGAATGGATAAAGATGATATATATATATATATATATATATATATATATATATATGCCATTTTGTTTCTTGAGAAAACATGGATGGACCTAGAGGGTATTCTGTTAAGTGAAATAAGTCAGAGAAAGACATACATTATGATTTCACTTATATGTGGAATCTAAAAAACAAAACAAACAAAACAGAACAGAAACAAACTCACAGATACAGAGAACAAAGTGATGATTACCATAGAGGAGAGGGCAGAAAGAAGAGGGAGATTAAAAATAAAAAGGAATGGATATTTATATTGGAAAGAACATTATTTTTTTAAATGCTAAAGGGATGTTTTTCTACCTCCAAATGGCTCATCATGAAGAGGATTTGTCATGATTAATCAGATTTTATCCATGCTACACATCTTGTGCCTCTGTACCTGGCTCTTTGAGTTCATTATCTTATGTGTTCCTCATCAGTTCTGGACACAATGGTACCTGTGTTTTGCTTAAAGGAGGGTGGATTGTTAACTTTACTCAGTTCCTTTGTTCTAATATTTAACACCCAACATTTTTATGTTTGGAAAGAATTCTAGTATAGCATTTAAAGCGCTCCTGTGTAAATATTTACTGAAAAATTCTGTTTGGAGCTGCTTTGGAAAGATCCAGTTTAGTTGTAAGTTTGTTGATGTTTTAATATTAATAGGCTGCTATAAAACTTTTAAAATGCGCATGACTCCTCCTAGTTCAGGGACACTGCTTTCTCTGCGCATGGTTCCAGGAATTTCCCAATACTCTCCTCGTAAAGGAAGCCAGACAAATGAGTTAGCAGAGTACACCTGCCTCCAGAACAAATGGCACCCACAGCAGGGTAGAGCAGAGCATCCGGTCTCATTGAACACCTTTCAGTGCATTAATTATAGCTTTGATGTTCAGAGTCATGACACTGAACTTCCTGGGAAGAGCCCAAGATCATTTTTACCATAAGTGAGTGTGGCATTCAGTGGGCATGTAATAAATGGATGGATTAAGGCATGAATGGATTATGGCAGGTATATTTGGAAACAATGGAAGGTTTACATGAAAACACTTACTTTAAAATATATTTTTACTGAAATTATCATATTAGCATCTGGAAAACTACCACCATCACCCTAACCCTTAAATAAAGAAATAAGGGAAAGGTAAAAACAACAACAACAAAAAAAACTATTCCCGTGGTTTGGAATGGTTTTCTATACCTAGTACAAAATCAGAATATTAAAAACAAATGTTTAAGCAAAAAAAAAAGTGAAATGTCACATACCCACCTGGCGCCTCCTGTCAACACCACACATTAAGTGAAATGATGTCACATGGCATAGATCTTTCCTCCCCAGTCCAAGTTTCTTGAGAGTAAGGGACATTCCATTGGCATCTCCACCCTTTAATTTGGTGTGCAACACAACAACACTCAAGAAAAACTTGCACTGTCGGACTGAAATGCCATGTGTGTTTTTCTTTTTCCCTCACCCTCCACAGTAATAATTAATTACCTTCCTGGTCTTCTGCTGTAATACTGACTTCAACTTATACGCTAACCTGCTATGACAGAGTCTACGATGATTAGAAGAGGGGCTGTTGTTCCCTGGAGGATCTGGGAAAGCTCCGAAGAGTGCTTCCCAGCCTCCGAAAGCTGGTGTACTGCCAAGCAGAGAGGAGCAAATGGTGATGTCCTTCCTACTGGGGAGAGAGCAACCAGGAGGTGAAGGTGTAAGGAGCAGCAGCCACAACCAATGGCAGACGGAGGCAGAGTCTGCTCAGATGAGAGGGATATTTTGCCACTGGTTACAGAATTGCAGTTTTACTTAATGTGCAATAAATTGTCACAGAAAGTTTTAAGGGAATGACATGATGTGATCTAGATGTTAGCAGTTTCACTGTTAGCAGTAGATTTGGGGGCCAAATGCAGAATTCAAAGAGATCTGTTAAACTACCACAATAGTTGAGAGAAAACGTATTAAAAGCCTAAACTAAGGCAGTGGGAAAAGGGTTAGAAAGTTCAAGAAATTCCAGAAATAGATTTTACATCATTTGATAAATGCTTGAGAGGAGATGAAACTGACCCTTAAATGTGAAGCCTGAGCCACTGAGGGAATGCAATGCATGAAGTACACAGGTAACGAGTTGGAATAAGGCCTGTGTGCCCAGAAGGGGCATCGGTACCTGAAGCAGGCAGCTGGGAACCTATACCTAGTACAAAATCAGAATATTAAAAACAAATGTTTAAGCAAAAAAAAAAAGTGAAATGTCACATACCCACCTGGCCCCTCCTGTCAACACCACACATTAAGTGAAATGCGTCGGGCTACCTGCAAAGAAGTCGGGCTTGTCCAAAATTTGGAAGTCAGAGGAAATAGATGAAATTACAAAATTAGATCAGAAGGAACAGGATATAAATTGAGCGGGGTCAGCTGCATGAATTTGCAGGGAGTACCTACATTTAAGCAGATAAGAAGTCTAAATGCCCAGTGAAAAAAGGCGAGGGGAATCATGGCCCAAAACTTGAAAAGTAGCATCAGGAGGGAGAGGTCAACAGCCTCAAATGCCCACAAGGAAGTGCGGAGAATGAGAAGAGAAAAGTCAGCAGTGGGGCTGTTAAGTAATTCATTGATAATTTTTGAAAGAGCAATGAGGGATAGAGGCCAAATTCCAGTGGGGAGTGAATAGGAAATCAAAGAAGTGGAAAATCAAGATTCTCTTTTGAAAATTTCATCAGCGTGAAGGAAAAAGAGGTAGATTGGTAGGAAAGGGAGATGGATGGCAATTATCCAAACTGGGAATTTATACACACATGTAAGTTGAGAAGTGGAAAACCGTGCAAGGATAATTTTAAGATGTAAGAAAAATAAAACAATAAAAAGCTTGGCATATGCTTTAGAAGTGAGTTGGAATCCTTTCCCAAAGGACCAGGAGAGAATAGGTACAAATTCAAAGAAAATTCGAGGTGAGGGAGAGCAAAGGAAGCTGGCTGTTGTCAGGTCATGCAGACCCACTTGGGGACACTGCTTCTGGCACTGGGTTCTCAGAATCAAATTCAGGGCGTCAGGCTCTACAAAGTCTAAGTTGCCAGACCCTGATGTAGAAGTCATTTCAAAAAGCCAGTTAAGTCAGGACTGACCAATGGTGTCAACACCAAGGTCAGGGATATGGAAAAGATAAATCAAGCTGACTGAACAGTAGGGTCTGGGAGAGTCACTCCAGCAGTTTGGGATCAGATAATAGTTCAGTGACACCAGCAAATCTAGTTAACAGAGGGAATCAGCTCTTCCAACCAGGGCTGGTTAACCCTTACCTCCCCAGCCAACACTTCCTTCTGAGATGCAAGAAAGATAACATGGGCCTCAGCATAAGTAAAGATGCCCTGCTTGTTACCGGTAAAAAATTGAGAAAGTCAGTTCAGCTCTCCATGCTCCTTCTGTACAAATGAGAATAATTGCATATCCTTCTCAGATTGTTTTGTGGATAAAATGAGATACAATTTGAAAGTATGTAGCTCAACTTGAAAGGAAGTGTTCAATGAACAAGAAGTCCTTTTCTTCAGGAAATTTACAGTACTTATAATGAGAGCGAAGAAAGGAGAAGATGAAAGCACTTAAAACAGCACTAGCATATTGCAGATGTTCAGTAAATGCTAATTATCATCATGATTATGCAGCCATTTAAAAGAATAAAGTACATCTGTAGGTTCTGATACATACAGAAAGAGCTCCAAAATATATGGATTGAAAAAGCCAGAACAGATTGGAGGTCGTTGCCAGAAGTGGTTGGGGGTGGGGTGGAGGGATGGAATAGATGAAGGGGGTCAAATGGTACATACTTCCAGCTATAAAATAAGTAATTTCTGGGAAGCGAATGTACAGCATGATGACTATAGTTAATAATTCTGTATTGTATGTATATTTGAAAGTTGCAAAACAAATTTTAGAAATTCTCAACACACACACACAAAAAAATTGTATAACTGTGAGGTGATGGATGTTAACCAAACTCATTGTGAATATCATTTTGCAATATGTACAAATATCTGATTGTTATATTGTATACCTGAAACTAATGTCAATTTTACCTCAATAAATTTTTAATTTTTTTTTTAATTAAAAAGAAGAAAGGAGAAAATAATTGCAACTAACATTTTAATTTGGACTTTCTTACTGGTCCATGGTCTTGGGTAACTTATTTAACCCCTTGCCTCTGTTTTCTCATCTGTAGAAAGGAGATAATAATAGTATTTACCTCATAAAGAAGGGTGTGAAAATAGTTAATATGATGTAAAACACCTTAGTACCTGGCACATAGCAAGTCTCTATATGCGTGTTAATTCTTACTGGTTTTGAACATTCACTCTGTGCAGCAGGGTAAGAAGTGCTTTCCCTAGAGTGAAACCCCGACAGCCCGCTCAGGAAGCACAGTGAGTGTTGCCATCCATGTAAACAGCGCCTCCTGTGGTTGCCTGGGGCCTCCCAACAGGAAGGCCTCTCCAGGAACGTGTTCTCATTTAATCCTCATGACACACCTGCAAGGCAGATACTCTGGATCCACAATACCTATGTGACAATTTGGGGACAGATGTTTTCAGAATTCAGAATTTTGTTTGGATTTTATTAAAATAATATAATGCCTCTATCACAGAACATCCAGCAGAGTCACCACTGGTGGGATAAATGATGGCTCTGAATAACATCACATCAGTTCAGGTCTGGCCTTACTGCCAAATGACTTCGTATGGAACGTAGAAAAAAAATCTCTCCACTTATAAAGCTTTTCGGATTCTAGAATTGGGATAAGTGTGGATATGATTTATCTTCTGCATTTACCTAGGGGGAAACTGAGGCTGAGAGAAATAAATCTGCCAAACATCTGGCTGCCAGCAATTTACAGAGCTTGGAGTCAAACTCAGGTGGTCTGATGCTATATTTATCTTAATTTCTATACTACATTTCTTTCCAAGGAAAGGAACAAAAATAAGGAAGTGGCAACAGAAGGACAGGAAAAAAGAACTCTTCCCAAGTCCAGGGCGAAAGTTGAAGCCTTGGGTATAATCATAACATATTCTCTGTGCTAATGCCTTGCACAATAATTTCACTTAATCTTGACTTCCACCCTGTGATGTAGGTACTATCTCTGTTTGTCAGAAGGAAATTAAGGGTCAGAGAAACTAAGTAATTTGTTCAGGATCTTGTGATCAGTAAGGGGTGAGCTGATTCCCAAGCCCCCATTTCTACCCTTGTGGTCACAGTGTCTCCCCCAGTTAAGCTTCCCTTTCTGCCCTTGAAGGAGTATCTCCTTCTTTTTCCTCCCTTTCTGGTTTCTCTTGTTTTTTCCATTATATTTTTTCCTCTGTAAGCTTCCAAATTATATACCTCTGATGGAACATGAAGGGCTAGTTCAGCACCAACTCACAGTAGCCTTCCACAGATACTGGATGGATAGATGGATGATTAAATGAAGACAGCTGTGATAAGGTCCTTACCCCGGTACTCCTGAGTTTTCTGCCCTACCCCCCCAATCCCACTTCCCACCTTCCTAAAATGGTAGGAGGCTAGGCCAGAATGACCATCTGCACAGTGTGCCTGGGACTCTGAGTTACTACTGTTGTCCCAGCTTGATGTTAATGGCAAACACTTTACTCTCTGAAGTGCCCCAGTTTGGGTAAAACTAGGTATGAATAAATTTAGCTTTCCATATCAGACAGAATGGGAGCTCTAGGTAAAAACTGTTATAGAAAATAGAAAGAGGTACATTTTCGTACCTTTGAATTTTGTGGCCAGCTTAGTTATAACACTGATTTTTAATGACCACAATAGTCTATTTGAGGGATGTACTCTAATGTATTTTTTAACTGATTTCTTAGCATAGGACATTTGGATTATTCCAACTTTTCATTACTATAAATGATAGTGGGACAAACATCTCAGTCTGTGCATATCACTAATTAATTAAACCTGTTCAAGCCAGCTACCACGTCATGAGGGTACATTCTGGAAATTTTGTACCAATTTATACTCTGACCCGTACATGTGAGAGAGTGCCCTTTCCGGTGTTACTGCTAATGCCTGGCACAATCTCTTTGGTTTTAATAAATGCTGGAAAGGAGAGGCGAAAATAGCTTCACATCTGTGCCAGAAACCCATTGGATTACACATTGCTATCTCAGAACTTTCGAAAAGACGTTCCTGGAGATGGATGTTCATGGGTTTAGGATGAGGCCTCGCTCCTCTCCTCATCAGCAGGCCTTACTCTCAGGAGCATCCTCACCTGAATAGCAAGTGTTCCCTAAATTGCCACACATAGTAACCACCCTTAAAATGCAAAAGAAAGGCTTGCTTTCTTACAAAACCAGAACACTGGGTCTCTTGGTAATGGTGGGTTTGGGAATTTTTTCTTCTTTGATTATATATGGAAAGCAGCTTCCCGTAATATGCCTTGGGTCATGACCTGAATGCTGAGGACACAAGGCACTGTTTTCCTCCCTGTCCACATCCTTTTCCCCACACTCATCCTTGCACCAAATGAAGCTCTGCATCGAAGGAAAGCTTAAGATCCACAAGTGCAAATGGGAAAGGATGTGTGTGTTCATGGGCAGGTGTGGGTAGCTCAGATGAAGGGATGACAATATGTAAACCTCATAAAAGGTGCTGAGTCCATTAAGTTGACAGTTACATTTATGAAGTCTTTCTAGCATATGTAAGAAGTTAGACTAATCCTTCTTTGTGTCTTTATATCCTATTTCTTTGAAAAAAATCAATACAGCAAAAAATACACTAATGAAACCCATACTTAAAAATTACCAAATGCTATCATTTTGTCCTACTGGCTTCAGATTTTTATATCTTGAAATAAATAAAAATTATGGACAGTTAAATGTTGTGTGATCCTCTCCCTGATCCTATTTATTTCCCTCCCTTCCTCCCCCAAGGTAAGCACTATTATGAAGCTGAAAACAACATACATTATTGTTTTGTGTAAGTTTATATACTTTAGTACTTCAACTTGCTTTACTTACTCAGCCACAGCTCTGTTGCTCAGGCTGTGCCCAACACAGCCGCTGAGAGCTCCATTCACACAGATCTCGATGGGTGGCCCCCTTGGGGGTGTGCAGCGTGGTGCTCCACTTTCTCTTTGAAGATGCATACTGATGCATGATAGATCTTGCATTAGTTTTAATTACCCTATCGTTTTCATCATGTGGCTGTGTCACCTTTTATTTATCTATTTCCTTAGAGGAAGATGTTTTATTACTGCACAGTGCCAGTGAATATCTTTATAAATATCTTAATTTTTACAGATAGACAAGTTTCTCTGGGGAATAACTATTCTTTATTCTGAGGTGACTGTAATTTTTAAAAATTATTCTACTAAACATTATAATAAGAAAAAGACAAACTTGGTAAAACTTAAAATTATTTATTAGTATGAATCAATGTTATTAAACCAGAAATAACAGATATAATTGAGCAATGTTGAGGGCAATGCTTTACTATAGAATGAATACAAGGTGGAAATGTCCTAATTGTCTACAGCAATGTCTTCTATATGTGAGAACTGGGTCCAGCCCAGACAGAAGCCCTTTATAAAAACACGAGAAAAGGGAGGGGTTGACACAACAGAGCACTGACATTGGATCACTGGGCCTGGTCTCAACAACAATGGTTAAAAGAATAAACTAAGATACTTAACAAGTCTAAATACAGCTCAGAACCCTTTCATTTATAAGCTAGCTCAATGCAGTCATTACATGCCATATTCCTCAAAAAATGTATTTAGTTCTTTTTGGGGCACAGCCCTTTTGTTGCCTAAGGGTTAGTTTTAAGTCTTCAACCTTCTACAGTCCTCAAGGTAACGTCATATTCAGCATCCTGGTGTACCATTTTCAACCATGAAATGGCAAGTCAATTACATACCTACATAAAATACTAGTATGACTCCACTGTTTTCCACTGGGAAATAACCCCAACGAGAACCCATGCCTACCTTATATAACACACAATCGTGAGCCAAACTCAGCCAGCGAAATGGATTATATGTTGGCATAACAAATATGAAATCATATTTACACATATACACATTATACCACACATGAAAGGGAAAAAAAACAGAGAAAAAGGAGCACATTTTGGGAACTTATGTGAAGAACGTTACATCACATGAAACTACTTGTCATTTTGGAGCAACAGTAATTTCCAGGCCTTTACGTAATATTACTTGATTATAGTTCAATTATTAAACAGCCAGAAAGTAATCATAAGGCAGAATTAAAGAAGAAAAGAAAGCCTGGACAAAGCTTGAGCATCTATCTTTAGAGATGACACCACGTTTATGTGAAGGCTCTGTGCCAAGTGCCACTACTTTCTTCACCAATTGCTCCAAGTAGTGATTATATATGTACATTGTCACATGACTGGCTTGAATAGTTAAAGCAGTAAAGAAGTGAAGGAGTGGTTTCACACCCTCATGTGCCTCTAAAATAAAACTGACCCCGTTCGTGGGTAGCCTGCTACATGAGGATGAGCCCAGCCATTTTATGCAAAACACAACCACTACAGACCCAGTCCAAAGCCACACAACTCCACTGAGACGCGTACCGCCTTAGCTAGGCAACCTGAGGCTGTCTATAGATAAAGCCAGGTTGTCAGGTACAAGTGAATGAGAGAAGGTCCCAAAATAGGCCTGCATGCAACTTGAAAGGAGGTCATTTCGATTTTCATTCCAAATTTTTTAACTTTGCAAACAGGCATGATAATTGCTTGGCCTGCAAGCAGAATCATGTTAACCAGTAACATTGATAATGCGGAGAAAAACCTTAAAAACCCTGCAAAGGCCCTGCCAACTCATTCAAATGCCACTTGCTAACATTTTTTGAGGTACCTGACTAGGAGAGCTAAGAGGCACTTTTGAATCAAAAAGTAAGTGTTTCCAGCCTTCACATTCTAAGATTGTTAAACTACTGTTAAAAGTTGAGTGAAGAACATCAAATAGCATATTCTTGGGTTAAAGAAAAATTCTTAATCTGTGATTTCTACCTGTTGTCTTGATTATCATCCACATAGGGAAGTGTAAACTTGGCCCTGGTCTCTCAAACTCCTCCTCTTTGTCAATGGTGGCACTCAGTGTCTCTATGTGTCAGAGCACAGAAGACACAGACATGACAGGTCTGTGAAGCAGCAGCTCACACTGAATTACTCAAAGTTCCAGGTCTTTAATCAACTCATGACCTCTCCTGTCTTTTATACTGCAGGTTCTCAATAAATGTTTGCTGGCCCTTGAACATTCACGTCAAAGAAGGTATACAGGCTGGACCCTGCTGCATGGTTAACTATTTCTGAGGCTATTGTTTTTAGTTTCTCAGCTCCCACAAAAGGCCCTGATCTGAGTATCTTTTAACAACCACCTCCCAGTATAAGCCCTAATAGGAAACCAACTGCTTCTTGATCCCAGGTTTTTACAAAAGTTATAATGGTAACAGAATTTGAATTTGGAATGGAAATAGCTTTTCTTCTTTTTCATGCCTTTTCTCTCTTTTCTGCCTTTCGACTCAGACAGCTCTAGTTAATTGAGCAGATAAGGAATCTGAAAAGGAAGGTTTATATCAAAGCCTATTCTCAGTTAATTCACATTCCAGTGTTGGACCCTTCTTAAGCCCTAATATCTACCTCCTCAAGCTTGGCATCTTCTAAAATGCTTTCTCCAATTTTGCAATTGGGGCCTACAATCTTAAGATGCTGGTACTTCCCTTGGCTGGCTTTCCTGTATTAATTGGTATTATGAGAAGTCTGCCTTATTTTATAGACTCCAATGTCCTGCAGTTAATTGTCACCCCAAGATATGACACTGACATATTCCATTAGTAAAATAATACTCTGTGAATTAAACCTCTCTAAGAGAGCAGGAATTCATTGTCATAGAGGTGATGTACACCAAGCGGTCTCTGGAGCAGTATTTACATCCTCAATCTGTCACTGCTTACACAGTAACTACTTAAATGACTCTTCCAAACCAGGCCTCCCAATCCCAAAATTACATGCAATAATTTTACTCAGATTTGATTTGTTTGTTTATATGTGACTAAAACTTAGAAAAATTATTCATCAAGTAAAAGTCACAGATGTAAACAACAGTTTCTAATATATCTTTCTCCACTTTTGTAACAGCTCAAGTCTACAGCTTGAGTGATCATTCAATTATACTCCACTGAATGGTAAATTAAATAAGTTAACCTACGGGTGAAGGCTGGTTAGGTAACAAAGGCAATGGCACTGAAGAAGTTACTTGAGTCTGGCCAGGGAACACAGGACATCAGAGTGGAACACCACTTTTAGAATCTCACACACGTAATAAATCAGTAAGATTTTTGTACACATTGAGAATATTTTAAGGTTTTTAACAAAAATCAATTATATGTCTTATCTAACATCCATTCTCTTCCATGTGGGATTTCAAGCAAGAAAGACTAGGTGGAGAATTTTTCCAGAATTTTCTCAAATCCTTTTCCAGGGACATTTCCTGCCCTGTTCCCTGCAGGTCTTCCAGGATGCCAAGCCAGCGTGCTTACTTCTCTCTAAGTGAGGTGCCAGGCCACCGAGAAGTGGGGTCCCTCAGCAGTGCACAGGGAGGTGGCTCTGGCTTCTTCAAGTACAGTGGGCCGTGGGCCCCGGTCAGCAGCACCGCCGGTTGGATGACATGGTGGGCTTTCCAAGTTTGATTGCTCCATTATTTCCATTCTCATGGGGGTCCAAGGGTGGGATTTGGCGACCTGGAACAAAAGGTAGGTCAAGATTGAGTTCCTTTTCCCTTGTTGACACCACACACAGATTGTGACCATGCTTCACTTAATGTTCCTGTTTTCTGGAAAGTAGAGGGGCTTCAGGTGTAGCTCTCTCCCCCATCTCCTTCCCTCCCTCCCTTATGTCTTCACTCTGCTGGATGAAGTCAAACTCGTGTTTAGAATATTCAGGAAAAGTAAAATCAGCTTCCTGGTAATACGAATTTCCTTAGACTTGGAATCTCTCGCTTCTGGGTAAATGGGAAATTTCCCACCCATCTTCTCAGCACAAACATCAGCCCATTGATCCTCCTCGCCTTACCACAGATCCATCCCACTGGACAGAACTGCTCCAGGCACCAAGATTTCAACAATAACAGGGAATACTCATCATTTCTGTTTCTTAAAATAGAACTGGACTGGGAATTGTAATCTTCCTCATAATGTCATTTATTAACCCTTAGCTTGCTATTCCTCATCCTGCCAATGCACTTCGAGCATTAACTAAAAAAGTCCAAAGTAATCTTATCATCCACAAGTAACCTTATTTTTATTTAATGCAATTTAAAAATTATCCTGCAGTCTTTATAAATAAACACAAAGTAAAATTAAAAAGGTAATGGAGGAGGATAAGGAGGTGATAACTACAAGATGTGGAGACTTTGTTTTTAGATAATAAAGATATTCTAAACCTGACTGCTGATGGGTGTACGTATCTGTGACTACGCTAAAAATCATTAAATCATACACTTTAAATGGGTGAAATGTACAGTAGGTGAGTTTTTAAAAATATATTGTTATTGAGATATGGTTGACATATAACATTGTGTAAGTTGATTTGATAATTTATATGTTGAAATACAATTATTACCATAGCATTAGCTAATGCCTCTGTGATATCACATAATTATCATTTCTTTTTTGTCATGGGAACAATTACGATATAGTTTCTTAGCAACTGTGAAATTTATAATATAGGATTGTTGTCTGTAATCAGATAGGTGAATTTTATTTCAAAAAAGATGTCCTTAGAAAAGGCAATGGAATCTGGAAATCACAAATATTTATTCAGAATAGGTTCCAAAGATTTTCAGAGGCACCATCCTCACTGAACCCTGTGAAGTTGGTGAAATGGTTATTATCATCACCATTGTACTATGCCTCAGAAAACTTAGATTACATGTTAAAGGCCACATCAATACTTAATGGCACAGGTGATTCTTTGTAACCTACATCTTGATTTTTCTGATGGATCCAAAGCCTGTGTTCTTCCCACTCTACCTCATTATTCCCTATGCTACTTTTATCTCCCCCCATGAAAAAGTCATGAAAGCTATCTCCAAAGTAAGGATTTTTAAAATAAGCTAATTAGCGTATTAGTTTACTAAGTAGTCAGCAATTAGAAATGGAAGGGACATTAGTTTCAAAGACAAAGTCTTTCAATACAACTGGATGTTATCTCGGGGACATAAAGATAGTTCAAAGCCCTGGTAGAATTGCATTTCCACAAGAAGCAGAAATAGTTAGTTTCAAAGGTATTAATGCATTGTGTAGATAGGGTGGGTGGTGTGGCGATTCATCGAAGCTCAAGTATAAAAATTAAGATCCTTGGCAATTATCCAAAATTCAAAATTAATTACTCTTTATCTGATTATGGAGCAGATAGAAGAGTTGTAATAATTTCTGCAGCTACTGCTTCTGCCATTATATTGCCAACAAAGCTACATAAAGCTTTTGCAGCCCTGACTGGTGTGGCTCAGCTGGTTGAGTGTCATCCTGAAAAGTGAAAGTTTGCCAGTCTGATTCCTGGTCAGGGCACATGCCTGGATGGCAGGCCTGGTCCCAGGTTGGGGGAGGGTAAGAAGTAACCAATTGATGTTTCTCTCACACATCCATGTTTCTCTCCCTCTCTTTCTCCCTCCTTTCCCCATCTCTAAAAATTAATTAATTGATTGATTTACCAAAAAAAAGTTTTTGCAGGCCATTCTCAAAAAAGTTCACTCCTAATCCAGAAGCAAATAAGAATGTTAAGTATGGGATGTGAGAGCGATCTGGCTGCGACATCTGTCACCCCATGGACCTCCAGGGTTGATTCGGCTGATCTGGCTCGCTAGGCAGGTGTCCCCTCCCTCCCTCACCGATCCATGTGCATCCCTCCCAAAGCTGCTGAAGAGACAACCTTCCCTACTAGAGGAGAGGACTGGTCTTTGGCCAAGGGTATAGGAGTAGCTGCACTTCCCTGCTAGAACCTCCAAACAAGCTCTCAAGAATGTTAAGTATGTATTTTCCTTTTCTGGATATGCTGTGCTCTTTAATTTGTCATAATTAAAAGGAAGTAAACAAAATTCTTTTTCTACTTTGTCAATCTTAAGTGATAAATACAGGGGAAAGTGCCCAATGACCCCCAATACTCTGATTTATTTAGGTCGTATCTTGTGAGTCAGGTGTTACTTACTCCTTGTAAAAGAGGTGTTTTGGAGGGATGGTAGTGTCAAGATATATCATTACATAAGTTATTTAAATCAATAATACTTCAGGTGCCTCCTGAGTGTGTTAGGTACTGCAATAGGGACTTTTGCTTTTGCATCTGAAATATTTTTAGACAAAATTATAATTCTGATTGGTGCAAGCTACTGCCCTATTTAACTAAGATAAGTATTGTTTACTGATCAGTATTTTTGGGAATATCAAAATCAACATCTATACTAACATTAACTTCATGCTATTCTTATGTTGTTAACTCTAAAGTTAATAAAACAGCATTGAGCTTTTAGTCCTCCTAGACATGGCTTATTCTACATGTCTTGTGTCATAAGTTTTGTCCTATGAAAAGTATCCCAAATATTTTAAAATTTTATTTATAAGATATTCATTAAAGTCACAAGAGTAGAATGAAAATCTGAAAACAAGGAACACACACAAAATGAGAATGTTAGGGTGGCCTGTCGGCACACCTCCTTGCTTCCCCCCATTCTTTCTTTCTGTTTCCTGCCTCTCATTTCTCTCCCGAGTAGACAATAAGTAAGGCAATGTTTGGGATGCAAGATTAAGTTAAGACCTGAGTCACACCTCAAGGAGACTCCCTTCTTATTCATTTTAAACTTTAAACAGTGTTTTTGAATCAGTTGTTGAACCTAGCTACTTAGAGGCAGCAAGTTCTGCTTATCTTCAGAATATCTGAAATCTTGCTTACTAAAACAAAATGTTCCTCAAAAACAGAATTACTGCAGTTTTCTCAGACTTCATTTTGCTCATCTGGTAGGAAGAGTTTTTAAATCTGAGAATCAATGTTCCAATTGAGCAAACTCAGTCAAGTTACTTAGTATCTCCAAGACTTCCTTGCATCACCTATAAGACAGAATAGGAGAAAGTAACTTGACAACTACTACACAATATAGATTGATGGCTATTACTAATATGGAACAAACTGACCATGGACAGAGTCATGGCTCTGGGCACAGCTCAAGTGGTGTCTGCATGGGAACAAACTCCTGCCTAGTGGCTCCCTGTGGTCGACACTCAGGGTTCAGTCACTAGGATTGAGACCCACCCTGCTCCTTCTACAGAACACTCAACATGGGAGGCATCCCACATATGCCAACTTCACTGAGAAGAAAGGAAGTGCTTCCACTTTAAGGAAGAAAGAGAGGAAAGCCATGTCATAACAATGAGGCAAGCACTTTAAAAAGAGAAGGAAGCAAACAGCACTGTGAAAACATAAGAGCTCAGGATCTTATGGTCTGAGTTATTTGGAAATTACTGAAAGGTTAAATGTACTTGGACAAAAGAATAGTTCTAGAAAACGACAACAGCGTTTTGTACCAAGGTGATCACCTTGGAACACTGTTGAATTAGTGTTAATTACACGAGGCACAGAATAGGACAAAAATATACACATAAACATCTGAAAAGGCTCCAAGCATCATCTGCATGTTTCTGCTTTTACAGACTGTACTCTGAGTATACAACCTTCATAACAAGTCATCCTCAAGTATAAATCCTAGGCCAGGGTGTTTATTTTAATTAGGTTTGGATTGTGTAGGGTTCTGTTTAGGAAGAGTTAAAGTCTCTTTTGAAGTTCAGTTTTCCTGAAAGTTGACAGCCTGGAGAAAAAGCAGGTTTTAAAAATGATTCCTCGGGAATGCAGTATGTCAAAAAACAAAGTCAAAGCCTATAAATTTTATCATGGCTCTAGACTAGAGGCTGTAATGCTTTTACACACAATGAAAATAAAACAGCACGCTTAGCTGCAGCTGTCCTCTTTCCTTGTGTGGTGGACTGGCTGATTCCTACGAGAGCCACAAGTCCTCCCTTCCCATTTCTTCTCTCTTTTCATTCCAGTTCCAGTATGTACTTGGCTCAGCTCTCTTTTGTTGAGACTTAATGGTGCTGGTAGTTGCTGTGTAACTTCCATGTCCTGATCCTGATTTTCTGAATCATTCAGATTAGTAAATTGACCAAGTTTATTATGACTTGGCAGTATTTACTCTTGATAATGACCCTCAAGCCTCAACATTTAGAGAAGGGGGTCTCTACAGAATACTGCAGTGGCTCACAATCACGGAACACTGCCCTAAGAATACAGAATAGGGGCTCAGAAGGCACACATGACACTTGGGGTCACTCTCTGTAACAGTTTTCTTGCTGCAGTAAATGCAACCACATTGGAATTATGAGATGACCTTGAATATTAAAGCGCAGAGTCTAACATTCTACATAGAACAAGAATGGCTTAAGAGACAGGAAGTGAATTTAGTCAGAATGCCTACAAAAAGTCCAGGTCAGGGATAATGAGAGCCTTCATTTAGGGGCAGCTGAGGGAACTAGAAAACAAAGACAGAAAGGGAACTGTAGCAAGACACCTGGCAGATGTGACAACTGATTGGATGTGGGAAGGTGAAGAGAGGAGCTTTTTTCAAAAAAGTTAAAAGTCTAGGGAGCTGAAGGAAGGTGACACACCAACAGAGAAGGAAGCGAGGGGAAGGTCACCA